ATGTACTGTGTACGATTTGAGCTCAAGTTGGTTGCGTTACGCGTAGTAAATCGTAGGTATTATAAGGCTAGTAAATGACGAATTTCCCTTGTTTATTGTTGTCACACTCCTCCCTATTATGTACTCCTGATGTATATGCGTGTATATATATATAAGTAAAATCACACAAAAACCCATGTAGATATGTAGAATAGGCTGTTAAATTTTAATCAACAATTTTTCGAGAATTATCTCTCTTCATCAGGCCGAAAATACGAAAACGAAAATACCATATATATACAATATATATAAATAAATAAATAAATATATATGTGTGTGTGTATGTGTGTGTGTTCATATTTCTTTTGTGCAGGTAATGTTTCATGTGAAAGGCACTAAAAAGAATGCAGTCACGGCAGAGGCAGCGCCGTCTACTGCAGCCGACAAAGCCAAAGCTGAATTACACAATGATTGTTACAATGAGCTGGTGGTTTGTGCCAGAAACATAGCTCTCGAGCTGTCAATGAACTGGAAGAACATCTATAAGTACGTAGCGCCTTCGATCAACGTAAATTCTGATATTTGGCTATATTTTTTTTAGTAATGATTAAATCTGAGATTGTGGCTTAAACAAAGTTAAAAAGCTTTTACAAACAAATTAATTACCTAGTTATATTCATTTGATTTGTCATAGTAGGAGTTTCAGTGAAAACATGCCTGTATGGATTGTACCCATGTTCGGATTCATGCGCTAGACCACATAAAATAATACTCTGATTGAATTCACATGCCTTCCTTGCTAGACCTCTGCTATGTGATTTACTGTAAATGCTCTCATAAAAAAATCAAGATATCCCGCTGTCACAGAATTTCAATGTACCAACCCAAATAGAACAGTAGATTATCAATGTGCACGTGGTTCTTTTTTACAAGTCCGGATACTCTGAAGGAGATGTCACAGCGTCTTCCAGCCGCAGAGGAGGAGATGAAGGAGGTTACTGGTGTCACGGATACCAATTACCGTCGCTACGGTTACCGATTCCTCGAGATCACACTGCAGTATATGGCCAAGCTGACACGTATGTACATTATCATGAAACACGTTAGAAAAAGCAAGAGAAGTGGATAGCAGTCAAAGTGGGAGCTGAAGGCAAGAGGCGAAAATTGGAAAATAAGTGGGAGGACATTAGTGAGGGAGAGAGACAGGGTCAACGTTCATACATGTCATATTGCTTACAATAGTTGTATCTACACCGTCTAATGGTATGAATCCAGTCGTTCAGTAACTGTACTCTTGCATGCTATACCTTTGTGTTATATCTGTCGGTGTGGCATATATAATCGAATTAAACAGAATTATGGACAAGAAAATAATATGTTTCAGTTCTTGATGATGACTTCACGGCGGGCACCGGTGATGACACGTTTGCACCCAACGACTTTGCTTCTCCCTACTTTGATGGCCCACCCGAGCACTCGAGTGTGTTCACGGGAGGCGGGCGGCAGGGAAGAGGTGGTGGCACTAAAAGGAAGCGGCGAGGTGGTGGTGGAGGTTTCAGGAAAGCCAAGCGACAAAAGGCAGCGACTTCCACGGAGCAGGGCAATAAGACAAAGTACAACAAACGTCGAGGAGGAAGCGCAAACCACACACCCGTAAAGTAAATACATTTCATTTCAAATAAGTTTACAAAAATGATAACGAAACTCTAGAACAATTCTCACTCATTTTGCAAGATGTGGTTTAAACTTACTGTCAACAGTGGTCAACTTGCTCACTGTCAGCATACTATAATGCTGCTAATTGCTTTCTAGTGGTCCAGTTTTATGCAAGATCTAATAGTACGTAGTTTGCATTCGACTCTTATTCAACAAATACTTCGCATTGTGTAAGTTATCTGGATGTCGTTCCTTGCAGTGGCGAGCGGTCAGGTGGGTGGCTGTCAAAGCAGCAGCCTGGTAGAGGAGCTGCATCAGGAAGAGTGGCAGCAGCACGTCCTGGTTTGATGCCGATGCCTGCGACAAGACGACCGCCAGCCAACGCGCGTCCATTCCTCAAAAGCCTGAAGGACTTCATCTGACCACTGGCTAATACTCGGTCAATACCTGAGCAGCATGAAGAACAATGTCCAAGAGCATGTCGTAATGCAACGTGTCTACGAAGTGGATCTCTGTGAATCACAAGAATATGTATATAGGCTTTTTTATTTGCCATTTTTTTAAACTGTTTTTACATTGCATCGTCTCTAGAATGTGTAATAGATTTAATTTGTATTTATTAGGATTATGTTTACATTGTCATCTTTTGTCTGTTTGTCAAACTGAATCGATGCGTAGTAATATTTGATTATGATTGCTTAAATTATTTATTAATACACTATTGTTTTATGTATAACTAAAATGTGTACAAGAGAAAACAGTAAACTGAAAATTACTTTGTAAATGTTTAATTTTCAACAAAGCTATCTTGGTAAATCACGGGAATATTCTATACATAAATATTTGGGAAATGTTAGTGAGCGTGCCAGAAAAATTACTGCCAATTGAAAAGTTAAACCATGCATAATCGGTAAAACTTTTTACTGTCTGGACATCATTCTTATAATAGAAGCTAGCTGCGATGGTATATTATTAGGTTCACCTCAAATCTAAAGTGATAAGGGAACATTTATAACATTTATAACAATGCGAGCTTTTCACTAACGCATCTGCAAATCCATGAACACTGGCATGACGTTGGCAGCGTGTAACCATGCAACGACCAATATTCCACATCCAGATCTCGTGACTGCACCAGCAACTACCCACACACCTACAGCGGTACATATATGCGTTCTTTAACAACTCGGCAAACGAATAAGATCGGCAGGGGAGGGCAAACTTGTTTAGCTCGACGTGGCTTTGGCTTTCGTCTCCTCGTGCGCCCTGATCCTTGCCTCAAGCTCGGGCCGGTAGTGGCGCACGAGGCCCTGCACGGGCCACGCGGCGCCGTCGCCCAGCGCGCAGATCGTGTGCCCCTCAATCTGCTTACTCAGTTCCCAGATCATGTCGATCTCGCCGACCTGGGCGCGGCCGTCGACGAAGCGCCACATGATCTTATCGAGCCAGTCGACGCCCTCGCGGCACGGCGTGCACTGGCCGCAGCTCTCGTGCTTGTAGAACTGCATGAGGCGCGCGATGCAGCGAATGATGTCGGCCGACTTGTCCATGACGATGACGGCGGCAGTTCCGAGCGCCGTCTGCGCCTCGACGAGCGCGTCAAAATCCATCATGACGTCGTCGCAGACGTGCTTGGGGATGAGCGGCGTCGACGAGCCGCCGGGGATGACACCGAGCAGGTTGTCCCAGCCTCCGCGCACGCCGCCCGCGTGCTTGTCGATGAGCTCCCGCAGCGGGATCGACATGCTCTCCTCGACCGTGCACGGCGCGTTCACGTGCCCCGAGATGTTGTACAGCTTCGTGCCCGTGTTGCGCTCGCGGCCAAACGACGCGAACCACGCGGCGCCGCGGCGGCAGATCGTCGGCGCCACGGCGACCGTCTCCACGTTGGCGACCGTCGTCGGGCAGCCAAAGACGCCGACGTCGGCTGGGAACGGCGGCTTCAGTCGCGGCTTGCCCTGCTTGCCCTCGATCGACTCGATGAGCGCCGTCTCCTCGCCACAGATGTACGCGCCGGCGCCGCGGTGGATGTAGACTTCAAAGTCGTAGCCGGAGCCGCACGCGTTCTTGCCGACGAGGCCAGCCTTGTACGCCTCGTCGATGGCCACCTGCAGGCTGACGGCCTCGTTGTAGAACTCGCCGCGGATGTAGATGTAGGCGGCGCGCGCGCCCATCGAGTGGCCGGCGACGAGGCAGCCCTCGATGAGCTTGTGCGGGTCGTGCCGCATGATGTCGCGGTCTTTGCACGTGCCCGGCTCGCCCTCGTCGGCGTTGACGACGAGGTACTTGGGCCGCGTGTCCGGCTTGTTCATGAAGCCCCACTTCATGCCGGTGGGGAAGCCGGCGCCCCCGCGGCCGCGGAGACCCGACTGCGACACTTCCTTCAGAATCCAGTCCTTGCCCTGAGATCAGAAGCACAATTTTTAATCAATGCCTGATATGTGATGCGCAGAACCACGAGTTGTGATACATCTTCGGTTTAAGACACGTCACAGAAGCGAAATTATAATTTGAATGGCATTCTGCCGGATTTGAATTGGGTTAGTTGCTCGAGCATGTGCCTAGTACGCGCAATGTTTAACCACTGTAACGTTGAATTATGAGTTCATGTACAAATGATGAAGTAGAAATCCAAACTTGTGTCTTTAACTGCATAAACTTTAATATCTGGGGTCAGTGAAGTTAGCTCCCAGTTCCCAGTTCCCATGTACGTGTTGAATGTGACAATATGGTAATAGCAAATAGCTAAAAAAAAGAAGATAACTTGACTTTGCGTTGCATTTGGGGCAGAAAGGTGTTTCCACCAATCCACCGGGCTAGAAACAATGAAAAACAATCTCTACTATTTGCAAAGTGTTCGAGCACTACTTGATCTTCATGTATACGTGGGTCCACACTCTATTTGTGGTGGCTATAAGGATTTCTGTGGGTGCAAAACCTATTTGTTGTGGCTACAATTTTTGTTGTACCACAGTCTATTTCTCTGCATTTCCTGTCAGACGTAAGTGGTTTATATTGAGCTCAGGGAAGTTAGCTCCTAGTTCCCAGTTCCTTATTCGAA